AAGACATAAGGAATTAAAATCCTTATTTTTTAAATTATCGTACGTCTTTGAGTATCTATAGACATAATGTTTTACCTCTAGTTTCACCTAATTCATTCAGTTTTAAGATTTAAATTGCGCTTTTACGATTAACGTAACAATTCCATTTTTACAATTTTTTTGAAGTATTGGGCAGACGTCAGTATCTCCTTTTTTTACTAATAATATGTAAGGTTGCATTTGAACTTATGGTCCTACGTATATTTGTTGGAATAATAATTAATATTCTATATATCAAGTAGTATTTCACAATATATAAATATGTTGTTTATCTGTATCATAAAAATACGTAGTTGTTAATCAGGAAATGTTATAGAAAAACAAAGTTGTTTTTGTAAGCACACGTGTATGTGTAGACGCGTGCAACCTTGTGGGTTAATATAAATAGCATTTGATCTAAGGGCTCGGGGCTCAGTATTTCTATTCAGTTTATACATATTACTAGTGTATTATTGTTTCACTGTGTTGTATATATTCTATGTATAATATATCTATTATTGTAACAAAATTATTTGTGTTGAATACTTGATTATCATCTACTACTACTACTCGCACTCTGATACTATATATATGTATAGTATTACAACAATATTAGATATTTAAGTTTTTATTATTGTAAATAATTGATTTTTATTCCAACTACCAAAATGTTATAACTACAGCTGATATTAGTTGTACATTTCTTTTAGTTATTCTAATAAATATTACATATGTAATTAATAGTAATTATTAATTACAACTATAATATTAAGTCGAAATCAGAAAAATATAGAACATGTATTCGCTATAACTTATTTAAAGTAGAGTTCTACTTTGCATGTTTGTTTGTTAAAACATATAAAGACAAATAACAAAAAAAAAAAACCAGTACAGTGGGGTCGGGGCATAGTGGGGACGGAGCATAGTTGGGTCGGGGCATATTGAGGACGGGGAGCTCACAGGTTTACAGGAATTTTTAAATCTGAAAGTGATAAAATCACTTTCGAAAAAACGCTTCGATGCAAATCGGTAGTTAGTATTTTCAAGCCAGTACAGTCCAAACCAAGCACAGTATAAACCAGCAAAGTTAGAAAGTTTTAAACGAAGGTTCTGTATTTACAAATGAGCATCAAAGCGTTTATTTGAAAGCGATTTTATCCGAGAGGACTAGTACAGTAGAGTATTGGCATAATGTAATCAAAGCAATGAGGAAACGGAGAGGTCCCAGGTCTACAAGAATTATTTTTTTTTTTTTTTTTTTTTTTATTAAAGAGTATTTACAATCTATGCTGCAAGGCATAATAAGCAAATAGTTACATTGTTATATATACAGAGAGAGGAAAAAAAAAATAAACAAATAGAAACGGTGATTTGATATGAGGAGGGAGGCTATCCAGTAATAGAACCCAACGTGATTTTTGTTTTAATTATTTTTAATTAGATTAATTTGAATTATTGTATTAACAGATCTCGACACCAATGTCTTCGGAGTCGGCGAGGTGGATTTCCGGGGAGTGAATTAGAAGCAAGTTGAGATATTAAAGGGTTAGAATGAGTGTGTAATTTGGAATGAAATTTTTTGTAGTGTTTTATGGCTAAGTGGTTTATTGGTTCTATTTTAAAGTCATTTTGAAGTGTGCAGTTTGATACATACCATGGGGCAGAAGAGATAATACGTAGAGTGATAGATTGGAAAGCTTGTAAGGTACGAAGTTGGGATGGTTTTGCACATCCCCAAATTTGGATTGCATATGCCCAAATAGGCCTTAATAGGGATTTGTATATAATAATTTTATTGTGGAAAGGTAATTTTGATTTGAGGATTGGACGTAGTAAATGGAGTCTGCTGTTGAGAATTTTTCTTTTAGATTTAATGTGGGAGCCCCAAGTTAATCGTTTGTCGAGTATGACACCAAGATATTTGACTTCCGAGGATATTGGAATAAGTATTCCTTGGAATTGGGGAGGGGGTGGAACAGATTTTTTTAGTGTGAAGGGAACGTACACAGATTTATCTGGATTAATTTTAATTCTCCAATTAGATGACCAGGAATCAATTAGATTTAAGTGAGTTTGAAGGAAGTTGGAAGTAACTTCTGGATCATTTCCTGGGGAGAGTATTGCAGTGTCGTCTGCATAAGTAGCCATAATAGTGTTTGGTGTTTTTGGAATGTCAGCCGTAAAAACATTAAATACAAGAATTATTATAAATAAAAGTGATAAAATTGAATAAAATCGCTCTCAAAAAACTTGTACCCCCCTTAGGGGGGCAGGAAATGGGTATATTTTGAATTTGACAAAACTGACGTGCGCGGGCATACCAAATAAATATTTCTTATACATTTAAACTCGATCCGACTCTTTTTCTCGATACTATAGCCAGTAAAAGTTCTAACTTAAAAACTCGTATGGTTTTTTTTTGTTTTTTCAACTTTCGTCTGTGAAGACTTAAACTTTTTCAACTTTTACCCCCCCAAAGTACAAACTAGACAAAATTTGTGATTTATAGAGTTGCTATTCGAAGGAATTGGTCTAGTATTAAAAAAGTTACAGTGTATACAGCGAAAAAAAAAAGCTCACATCAGAGTAAAACCAATACCTTCTCGCTTTGCATCGAAGCTAAAATCGTTTCAAAAAAACAATTTTATATCTAAGAAAATATATAAACAGTAAAAAAAAAACCTCCAATCGCACCTATGACTTATAGGCTGTGAGACAGTTGTTATTGAAATTTGGGTTTCAAATCAGAGGCTCAACGAAAAATGATGTTATATTAAATAAAAATGTAAATTAATTTCATAAATACATTATTTCTACTGACCCCATAAGTGTTATAACGAAACACATTTGTAAGAATTGAATCAACTTCTCACCCACACTTTCCTTCCTGTCCTAACTTTATGTGAAATAATATAACGAATTTATTTTTTACTACAAATAGTCTTATTTCACTATCCATGGCGGACCAAAACATCAACTGTTTTGCTCTTGAAAATGTCTCCATTGTGCCCCTTATCTTATCCCTTATCCTATCCTCATAATAGACTACACCCTGTTCAACACAAATACTATTTTTTAAGTTCCAATATTGTATTATATTTTCTGGCAATTGTTTTTTTTTTTCGTAGGCCAGCCACTTGTATAAACTTTTATCACCTCACTCAACTTAACATCATTTTCAGTTTCTTTTGCTATTTCCCTAATGTTAGTATTCTTATATTCAATTGCATATATCATTTCCTCCAATATTGCGCTCCGTCATCCTTATCACACATATAATTTCTTGACAGTAAATCTGCTAGAAACATTAACTTGCTAGGCAAGTATTCTACACATAGATCATAAATTATAAGTTTCATTTTCATTTTCTGTAACCGCACTGAAATCACTTTATAACATTTTTTTTTAAATATTAAAACTAAAGGCGACTGATCTGTCAATATATTTTGTTTATGCCCAAATACATAATTGTGAAATACCTTTCAAGCATTTAAGATACTTGGCATCCCGTTTGTGATTTATCACATTGTATTGTTATCTCAATTTCTGGGTCAAAATTCACTAATACTTAAGAACTTGCAACTATTTGCTTGAGTTTGTCTAATAATTCAGTACGAGCTTCACTCCACAACCAATTAACAATTTTTTTTAAATAAGTCTCTCAGAGGTGTTATTAAAGTAGACATATTTAATATAAACTGTCACTAGTAGTTAAAAGCTCCTGAAAATCTCTGTAATTCCAGTTTGCATTTAGGTGGTTTTAAAGACATTAACGCTTTATTTCTGTACTCATTTGGTTTCATTCCCCCACTGCCAAACACCATACCAATATAATTAAACTCATGCCTTTTATATTTAATCTTAAAACTATTAAACTTTATATTTAATTGTTTTGCCCTTTCTTATACCTGTATTACTACATCATCATGCAGAATTTCATCCTCTGTTGCTATAAGCAAATCGTCAAAGTATACGTACACATTGTTTATGTCACCAAAACACTCATAATTTTTCTTTTGAAATTCCTCAAATGCACACGGCAAACCAAAAGTTTAACTTTTACCGCTCATCTCACAAAAAACCGACTAAATGAGATTTAAAAATGTAAGCAAATCAAAACCCTACTCAGCTCGGAGTAATCACTGGTAGAAAAAAAAATCTTTACGAGAAGTTATTGTTTCAGAACTGAGTATCACTTGATGTTCATTGATGTTATGACTGATTTAATATTATAGTAAAGTGTTTTGCACAATACATTAATTTCTAGAATTTGGTCACGCTAAGTTAAAGAGGGTTTCAGTTATAAGTAAATGACAAAGTTCACCCTCTCGTTTTATCTAATCTGTGATTCAAGAGAGCCTTAAACATGAGGGGTCAAGGTTTAATCAATTTTCGGCATGCATTTTTAAAAAATCACCTAAACGACTTCTCATTTTGTGCAACTCGCATAAGCAGACAGCCGTTTTGAATATAATAGGCGAAACATATTGGTGGACAAAAGATGTGGCTTTGAAAACATATTTTGGAATATTTAATGACCCTTCGAATTATTCATTAATAACAGCATTCGAGTTATAGTAATACTAATTGGATTCTATGTTGGGATTTATTAACAATTACGTTAATATTAGATACTAAGTGTAGTTTAATGACATTGGTTTTCCTAACTATAATCCCCGTATGAACTTGATTCTACATTTTTATCTTGGGTTAACAAACAGTAGAATTTGATAGATTTAATGTAGCTATTCCATTTGCTGCGATCGTTTGCACGAACTGTTTTGTAAGGTTTAGTATTTAGTATACAAACAAAATATTATACTCTGCTTGTTATTATGATTCAGAATTATGTAAATATGTTGTTCATAACGAAAAATGACTAATGTTGCTGTTGTTAACAAATTCGCATAACAAATTCTGCAAAATAAATCTAGATTTTATTGTTTCGGTCGGCAATATGTAAGCCATTCGATCAGTCGTAAAAAAACCATTGAAACAGTCAGTACAACTATCATTGCAAATATTTAAGTAAGTAATAACCGAAATTGTGTTCTTATATTTAATGGTTTTATTAAAACCATGTATTTTCAAAATATGTGTTTTGAACTAACTGAATAATATCACCAGCAATTGTTGAGTACTCATATTATTATTATTATTATAACTATTTAAGTACTTCAAAAAGAGTTATCCAAAAATTTTTTATCGATCATTCAAAATGTTTGGTACATAATTCTCAATTTAAAAAAATTTTTAGAAACATGCTTTCTAAAAAATAGTAAGAAAATTAACTAAAAAGTAAAAAAATATTTAACTACAAGAACAATTTACCAATTAATTGTAGCACATTTTATTTAAAATGTCAGTTACTTTGAAAATAACCAAAAATTAAATACAATTTTAAATAATGTTAAACGTCTTTAATTTTCGATTAAAAATAAAAGTGTGGGCCTAATCAATTAAGTTCCTAATAAATTTATTAGTTAACATTCCAGATAATGTTTTATATTGTAAGTTTTTTTGTAATTTAAATTTGGTTGAATATTAGTGTTGACACATTCATTTAATAATACTTTACTCAATAAATTTGGACTTTGTTGAATAAGGCCCTTGCTTTTTTTTTTTAGTCAAAAGCGAGTTAAAAAAAAGCATATTGTAAAAAGTTACAAAATTTATGTTTAAAAAGTTGCTATCAAAAAAACTAAGATTGAGGAGCTGAAAATGTATACATTTTTTGAAAATCGAGATCACATTTTTTGAAAAAAAAAATCAAATTATTAATTGAACTAAGATATTGAGTGGCCTATGATAAAATAATCACACTGTAGAAATATCGATGACCTATGCGGTTATATGCTATCGTCTATACAATGGTCTAGTGTAAACATTTATAGAAAATGTATAACGATACTATTTTCTTAACTGCGACACATTAATTAATGTAGAGGAATTTAATTTATTTATTAAGAGATCTGAAAATATCAACACAGTAATGAAAAATGTGTGAACTAGAATACATGACATACGTAGGTAAAAACCATTTGTTTAAATATTTTTATTGGTTTCCATACAAAATTTGTGTTTGATATAATATTTGTAACAATAAGGTAATATCATGCAAACAAATGTAAACGTTCAAACCGACAAATGATAAAACATAATACAATCCAAAAACGATTTGTTTTTCATAAAAAAAAAACATATAAGTAAAGTTTTAAAAATTGTAATTGTAAAATACTTTAGTTTTTTTAACGTGGAAATTCAAACAAATTTTGATGATAACACTGATAGCTTAATAGTCATTTGTCTTTTTTTCTACATTACTTCGAGTTCTTAGGCCAATAATTCCGTTTAATATGTTTTAATTTATATTATTACTTGCAGACAAAAATGAAATATATATATATCTTACTCTTCTGTGCTATTTCAAATGTTTTGGCAAATCATTCTTATGGTATGTAATTCGCTTTTACAAGTACTTACCCAAGGTACTTAGATAACGTTTAAAAAAAGCTTAACAAATTCAATATTCAATATTCAACTTTTTTACAGATACTGCAGGCTGGAGAAGGACGCTTCATGCTACAAGTCAGTACATTTATTGTTAACAAAATACTTTTTAAGTTTTAAGACTTACAGTTTTTATACATAATTTGTTACAGACCTACTCATTGAAATACATGATGAAAAAGGTAAGACATACTTAAAATTATA